TAACGAATTGCGTAACTGATAAACATACGAAAACAAATAATTTTTCTTCTGAAAACAATATAGTTTGTGAAATTTTTATGGACAAAGTAGGATTGCAATAATTTTTTTAAAAAAAAGTTTTTTTTTTCAATGCCCACTTGGGGAATGACCTACGTCATACAGGCATCTGAAATGCAGATTTGTTGACCACTCTTTCAAGGGCACCATATTAGGTGGGCCAACGTTGCTCCCACAGTAAGGCCAGATAGTACAGAGAAGGAAAGAACATCCATGCCTTACCCGGGAATCGAACCCAGAACCTTTCTGATGCAAGGGCAGTTCCCTAAGCCCTACACAGGCTGGTCCGCATTAAAAAAATTTTGAAAAATTTAGATTGCATTAATTTGCCGTCGGCAGAATTACCCTTTTGCAAAATTGTCTTGTAATTACCCAAATGATTAAAATTAAACATTTTTGAAATGAATATTTTTTTTATTTAATAGTCGTGTGATAAAAGAGAAGCAATATAATATTTATACATTAGTTAAATTGGAACATCGTTGAAAATTCATTAATAGATGTCATATTAATCGACTGTCTAACCACTGACACGCACTTAATAATCGATATAAAGTAAACTAAATCTAAGTTCATAGTATCTGTAATAGTTTTTTAATTGATAAAAGCAATGTTTGTTTTCACAAACTTTGAAACATATCCAAAAAATGAATGTAAATTTTTATGGATGTTTTCTGACCAGATAAATATTTATAAGATAAATTTACTGGAGTTATTCCATAAATTATTATGAAGCAACTTTAATAAATGTCTATCATGTTTTGAATTTGCATTTTCTGTAAAGTGTTATCTAGCCTACTTCGCGGTTATAAACTAAACGATTCTAAAGATTTTCTAATTTGTGTAAGGTGCTTAAGCATATTGCTTTCCAAAAAAAAAGTTAGTAACCAAATATGTAATTGCTTTCAAAAAAAAGTTAGAAAAAAAAAGTTGAAAGTTAAAAACCATAATGTAAGCCATATGGTAACTATGTGCAATCATATTGTAACATGTCACTTGATCTTTTGGTACTTATAATAGTAATTGAATCCTTTGCATCTCATGAAGACTAATTTTCGCTCTGTAAACGAATAATTTCTTGTACAGAATGGAGGCTGTACTAGATAACCTTACGTATCATCAATTAACTAATTATTTACATTAAACTAATTATATTAATTACTAATTACTTATTAACTAATTAAAGTGCCTACACCATTCCATTTTCAGGTGAAACATTGTATGTGAGAAATTTTAAATTTATCTTCTGATTTTGATACTAATTTCATCTGATTTTGCTTGATTTCTATTGAAAAAATTTTATAATTTTAAAATCGATAATTTACATGTACTCTATCTTCAAAAAAACGTATCAATTCGAGAACGAGGAGCAGGACAGCAACTGCTGATGACTGCTTGTTACTGGTAACTAATTGATCATTGATGCATCGTTAGTAGACAGTCCGTTAAATGTCCCCGTCATCTAAAACAACTATATATCTTTAAACTTCCTGTAATGATGGGGGACAAAATACTCTTTTATCACACTTATTCGAACAGGGGATATTCTGGAAGAAGCAAAAATGAACTTAACCTTCTCATTTATGCTTTTGAAAGTTACGGTCACCTATGGAAATTACTACTTTACTTTGGCAATGATATAGAAGGCACATCGAAAAATGTATCAAATGTTGAACGTTTTATTTTGAGACTAATGCAGCTTTTAATAGCTATCATTTATATATCATCAATACTATATCCTCCATTACTTTTAACATCATTCATGCTACACGATACTCAGTTCATAAAATCCTTTATCTCAACCAGTACAATAATTTTAAATTCGTTATGTCTTTGGATTGCTATGTTTAATAGAAGAGCAAAAATACACGACTTGATTATAAAATTGTATAAAGTGAAAGTATTTCTAGTTTTACCACCCAAAAGCAAACCTCGAACAATCAACTATTGTTTACTGCTCATTTGTTGTATACTTCCTTTCTTAGGTGTCATGCTAATATTAATTTATAATACAGTCGGAGGTGAAATTGCATTCTATTGGATGTTTGGTCACCATTTTGATTCAAATTTAGTATCTAGCTTAATGTTGCTTGTGTGCAGCTATTTGTATTATTTTCAAAATATTTTTTTCCCATGTATTATAAATTTTGCTCTTGGTATTTAATATTATAGCGCATCTAAGTTGTTAAGTATATAAAGAACAGTTGCGCCATTTTGAAAAAGACGATGTGTCAATAAAATTAATAAGTACTTACTCTAACGTTAGAAACGTTTTAGAGGATTTAAACGACGTTTTGTCATCGCCTGCTTTAATCGCTTCTGTAATATTTTTCCTTCATATGTGTTTGTCGTTATCTTGGTTTCTAGTCACCAAGTTTTCAGATTTCGAAACATTGTTTTTCTTCGAAGTTAGTTTCGTCATTTCTGCTAGTGTTTCTTCGAGTATATACTTACCTGGAACGACATCGAACCTTCCACGCCAGCCTTTAGAAATAAAAGTCCTTCCTGAAAGAATATATGCAAAATCCGTGTTTGACTCGAACATCAATGAAAAAACTCTAGAAATCATTCATTCATACAAACAAAAAAAATTTTTAGTGTTGTCAGCGTGTCACGTGCTTCACTTTGATAGAGCTCATATACTTGCGGAGTTTGGGGCTCTCTTCTCCTATGGTTTATTGTTTCTCAATATCGAAGGATGGTAATCTTATGGAAGCATGCCTTCAAAGCAGAATAATAAAGAGCAGACAAAGATTATTATCGTAAACTAGTGGCTTAAAGTGTCATTCTTTAAAGTCTCAAATTGGTTAAAAAAAAGGTTAATATTAGCTAATTGGCTATTAATTAGCTAATTAACAATCACTATCCATATTCCTAAAATCAAAGGTGAGTCCGTGAATAATTTGGATGATTCACTTAAGTAACTATTACCACTGACATGTTTATTTTAACATTCTATATCAATAGGTGTCCCTAAACCTGAAAATGACTGAACATTTCAGAATAATTAAAATCCTTGCGGAACAATTTATGTTGGAAACAGAGAAAACCTATTTACGTTCACGTCCTACTAAAAAAATTATGTCTGCGTCACGTGAAAATTGTATGTATTGTTAATAATTTTTGTTTTATCACATAAGCGCTTATGCATGATTTGTAATTTAACTAATTAAAGTTACCTTTCTGTGAATTTAGCTTGAAAAAGGAAGTTAACCGTCATAGTAATAAATTATCGAGTGGGAAGTTTGTGCTTATTTTTGACATTTTCAAAACAAATTATAATTATCAAAAGTCTATTTGTAGAACATTATATATATATAATTCTTTTGCTGTTACAAGCGTTGGTTTGCAGTTAACATCTTGATGAGCATAATATTAATATTTCTATTTTTTTAAATAAGTAATTAAGCAGTAAAGTTAATTGAACTTGAAAAATATGTGACTGATGGACACTTACCGACACCTTATTGTATCTCATTTGCCCAGCAAAGTCACTTGATTTGAACTCCATAAAAAAATTTATGTGACACGTTGCAATAGCAAATAAATCTCAGAAATCAACACCCACGCAACTAGAGGGATTTGCATCATAAAATTCTCAGTTAGCAGCTTAAATTAGATACGAAGTACTTGCGAAACATTGTGGGTTAACTTTCTTACGTACTAAAACTGTTATCGAGACCAGTTCCACGATGTTAAATAATGCTCTTCGTGATTTCTCTAGAAGAGAGTGATTTTTAGCCCAGTGAACTTACTACAGAAGGATTATAATTGCCGATATAAATCTCTGGAGTCTACAATGCTTAAGAAATAGGTTTGATAATACCATATAATTAAAGTGCCATATTTAAGTTCTCAAGAATTATATCAATCAAAAGTTCAACTCTCTCGGGTTCTGTTCACAGTTTCTAAAAAGAAGATTGTTCTTTTTGGTAAATCGTTACATTCAAAGGTCTTCGAGACAAACAAGTTTTTAAAAAATTGATTTTAAGGAATCATTGATGAGTTAAAATTTTAAAACTAAACCAATTATTGTGCAAATATGAGTTTCTATTGAATTCCTGGAGACTTAAATAGAGTATAAACATTTAATGAAACCTAAATTTTGAAAATAACAGGGTGAGTAACCAAATCTTTCAACAAAAAATAAACACCTTTTATGTACTCAAAAGATATTTTTAAGAACAAAATGCAATATAATTTTCAAAAACTTCACATGATCATGACAAAACAACTAGCTTCTGACAAAGAACTCTTTTCTTTATTATATTAGCCATTAAATAATCGAGAGATTGTTCGGTTCGAAATCAGAGGGTGGAACCTGAAATTGAGAATATCTTGCAAAATGATGCTGAGTTGCACATGAGAGTGCAATAAGCTCACCAAACCTAGCTCATTAGACGCTCATGCGAACTCGCAAGTATTTCATCAAACATATAAAATGATTGTCGCTTTTATACGCTATGGGCCAACGGTAGGGCCGAAATAGATTGTGGTTAAAGGAATTGTGAAAATGTTGAATAGAACAAAACCTGCTTTTAGCATAAAATGTGGCGAAAATGGACATGGTAAAGAAAAAAATCTCATTTTCGAAAAGGAAAAATTAAACTCTTTTTGAAAGCACCTAATGAAAAAAGCACCTTAATTGTTTTTAAAAAACGAAAACCGAAAATAAGCACCTTTAAGCACTTTTTAAAAACGCTACGCACCATGAATAACGTACTATCTAACAATAAATATATATAAATTCAAACCTATACTTATACTATTTCTTATTTGTTCATTAAAATATTTATTTAAATTCAAATACATTAAAAAAAAACTCATTTGATTATACATCAATAGCAATAAATATTGAAATTAAAAGAATAAAACATTTTAAGAGTCTGTAATTTGAAATATTAAGATTCGATAGAATTTTGATTGAAAGTGATAAAAAAAACTCTTTAAAAACTCTGTCCCTCTTCAGTCCAGTTCTTCAATTACAGCATCTTCAATAATATCATCGATATCAGCAGATTCCTTTTTCACATCATCTATACGAAACAAAAATCCAATTATACAAAAAAAAATCAACAATTTGTAAAAACATTTTACCGACGATAAAAAATCAGAAGACAACTTCGATATAAAATGCATTAAATTCAAATAACTACATATAGGTTGAAATTAGGTTGAGATGGGGCATCTTGCATCCAAACGATGTTATTCAGTGCATTTTGTTGCAGCAATTCTGGTATGACATAAATTTACAGCATGACTGCATAGCGTGAGCCTGTCACAGGGCATATGTTATAAACCCCGTAGGTGGCGCTTCCTCAGAGAAGAACAGAACGTGAACTATTGTGCCATCCTGCTTTTTATAGGTTTTCTGCGTTGAATATCTGGTGAACGTTATTCTATGATTGTTGTTTTGATGTTTTGACTCTATGATATGCATGGACTCTATCTTTGCACCTCTGTCATGTGTTTTTAGACGTGGGCAGAGCTGCTGTTTGTGTGTCGTGCATAGCGTATCAGTCTTTTTGTGATACGCGTACCTTTCAACTCTGTTAAGGGGGCTTGCATGCGCTGAACACTTTGCAACAAAAAAATGGGTGTCGCAATTCGAAAATGTCGAGTCTCTGTACCTATAAAACCGTAACCGTGAACCATACTTTGACGTTTTTAGAATCTCAAGCTTATACCCCTGAATAATTCAACATCCGAAATCTCATCTCGATTGGTTGAACGAACTGGACGCTAGAGGTCTATAAATAGGCCGAGTTTTTTATGACCCCCTTTTCTCACAACTGTTCCTCAATTAAAATGGATTGACATGCAACTGAAAGAATTTTTATAGTTTTTTTTCTGTCAACAGCAACCCTTGACCATGACCACGGCCAGGATGTTAACAACCATTGTAACTGATTTGAAAATTAGCGCGAAAAAAGAAATCGGTTTTCCCTTTCAGTGTGCAACAAATCATGCATTTCTATCGCTTTTTTTAAATTATTTCTATTTTTCCTGGTAGTTCTTTTTATTAAAAGTATGTAATTAAAATTCTTTTATTTACCACACTTAGCTTCATCACTTCCATCTGAACATTCAGCACGACCATTGCAAAGAAAGAAATCTTTCAGAAGGCATTTATTTCGCAACTAGAGGGATTTGCATC